CTTCCTTCCTTCCTTCCTTCCTTCCTTCCTTCCTTCCCCCCCATCCCACCTAGCAACAGCCGCACATCGGTGTCTATCTCCGATTTGGAGAACTCTCGCCGGATTCAACAGGAAACTACACCCCCTCCCCACACATCTTTTCACCCTGAAAGTATCTCACGCTCAAACCCTCTTCTCTGTCCGTATCGCCCGCGCCAACCAATTTTCTTTCGCCTCCTCTATATAGTGCGGTTTGCGGCGCCACCCATCTTTCATCCTAACCCTATCTTATCATATATATATCCCCTATATATCGATAGTTCCTTCCTATATAGATAGAGTGAATAAAAGAGAAATTTTGAAAGAGACAGATGGTCTCTGACTTAGTGTTCGTCTCTGTGTGTGTGTGTGTGTGTGTGTGTGTGTGTGTGTGTGTGTGTGTGTGTGTGTGTGTGTGTGTGTGTGTGTGTGTGTGTGTGTGTGTGTGTGCGTGCGTGCGTGCGTGCGTGCGTATGTGAGAGAGAGAGAGAGAAAAAGAGAGAAAGAAATAGAAAGAGAGAGAAAGAAAGAGAATGAAAGAGAGAGAGAAAGAAAGAGAGATAGAAAGATGAGATAGAGATAGATAGATAGATAGATAGATAGAGAGAGAGAGAGAGAGAGAGAGAGAGAGAGAGAGAGAGTGTGTGTGTGTGTGTGTGTGTGTGTGTGTGTGTGTGTGTGTGTGTGTGTGTGTGCGTATCCATGAGTGTGTGTGTGTGTGTCTATGCGTATGTGAGCTAACGTGTATTTCTAAGCTTCTGTACCATTACTCTGTCTGCTTTTTGCCTGTTAGTGTTGGTGAGTATTCTGGTGTGATTTGCTCTTTTTTGCTATCTACCATCTGTCGTCCTTTTCTCGCCTCCTTCCTTTCTTTGTATCTTACAATGTAGCTGCAACTTTACTCTCTAGTAAAACTTCTATTCTTCGGCACTTATATGTGAGGCAGCGTGATGGAATCAGGCTCTCGTCAAAATAATCAAATTGAAGAAACTTGCATTTTCCCCGCAGGTTAGTGAATTTCTATCAACTTTTTGTTTTTTGGCTCAACACCTTTCATGCCCATTAAAAAACTAATTTCTGTATGGATTTTTCTGAAAAACGTTGATTAAAGGCTCAAAAAATGTAAATTTTTGGTCACCACAGACTTAAGGAAATAACTAACCTTTGGCGGCCATTTTCTCACTAAATTTACCCCTGAAAACGGGTGACTCCCACCTCCTTCTTACGTATCGATAAATGGATACTTTTAAAATCCAAATAAAGACAAGTGAATAAGTTTTAAGATGATATCAATAACTCTAAATGCCCAAAAATTGACGAGAGCCTGATTCCACCACGCTGCCTCACATATTATGATTCGTTTATTTTCTCTGTTAGTTTGCAGGGGGTTTTCTGTTCGTTTGTTTATTCTCATCTGACAAGTACAGTTGCATTGTGCTCCAGATCGTGGGGCGTTTGTGAAGCGTGCCGACAAGATGAGTTACTTCTCGAATCCAAGCCTTATTGAAATAAATACATCACGCTTTTTGGTGAAGTTTTTACAATTTATATGTATCGAATATTAAATGGCACGTTATACAAAAAAATGTGGCATCAATAGAAAATCTACTGGTCAGATCCTATAGTGTGGGCTTTTGGATAATATTTCCGTTTGTGGATTGCGAGAAGTAACTCATTTTGTCAGCACGCTTCACAATTGGGTTTCAGTGGGAGCAGCATTTACCCTAGGTGCAGGTTTTGGTCCTGTGCTAGGTGTGTAGCGTCTGTGATAGATATGTTGTCCTGTGCTAGATGTGTAGCGTCTGTGATAGATATGTTGTCCTGTGCTAGGTGTGTAGCGTCTGTGATAGATATGTTGTCCTGTGCTAGGTGTGTAGCGTCTGTGATAGATATCTTCTTTTGTTCCAGGACCTTTTAACCCCATCCAGCCAGGTCTTTCTTGGTCTTCCTCTTGATTTGAAGCCGGATTCTCGGGTGTTGTAAGCTCTAGCTGCTAGTTGTTTCGAGGGCATTCTGGTTAGATGTCCAAACCATTTGACTCTTTGACGCTCTATGAATTTTATTACTGGGTGTATTCCAGCTCGTAGACGTATGGTTTCATTCCTTATGCGATCTCTTCTGGTGACGTTGGTGGTTTTGCGGAGACACCTAATTTCGCATGCATTGATTTTCTTTCGTGTGCCTTGTTTAAAGACCATGTTTGGCACTGGTATGTTAATGTTGGTATGAAGATGCTATTGATGAGCTGGGATTTCACTTCGGTTGGGATATTCTTGTGACTGAGCAGGAGTTGTAAATGGTAGGTCACTGATTTGCCTTCATGGTTTTCATTCTTCCTACAACAACGAAACTGTTTCTGTCCCCAGTTCCTTCGGCTATGGAGAAACGAGTGCATGCGCGTCATCAGCGACAGGCTTATCACGACCCAGGACAAGACCTTGATTCAGGTTAGACATCGTTATCTATTTAGCTAGTTAGCCAGCCTACCTATCTATCCATCTATCTATCTACCTACCTACCTACCTACCTACCTATCTATCTATCTATCTATCTATCTATCTATCTATCTATCTATCTATCTATCTA